AGCCACGTACAAGCATCACCATCAACGTCGGCTCGGCATGAGGTCGAGAACCGACATCAGTCTGGTTAATGCCAATATGGACCATCATCACTCATCGAGTCGGCTCGGTCAAGTACCGTTCCGACATAGATCATACCGGAAGTATACAAGCTGCCGTATACGGACTAGACGGTTCGGTCATTTGCCGTTCCGACTAGTATTGAATAGTCGGCTCGGCCTCTTGCCGAAGGGTTAAACAAGTCATAACGGTAATCACAATTAAGAAAGGTAAGTACATGATTAAAGCCTAACAACCAATTAGTACCGTATTACCTAATTTGGTAAATATCTTAGAGGGCCCATCATGCTCAGGCCCATGTCAGATGCTATAAATAGGTCACACATAACAAGGTATGTCACTGTTCATTAATTATCCTAGAATATCGTGCTTATCCTGACTTGAGCGTTGGAGTGCCTTTTGCAGGTACCTCCCCCCTCTGAAGAATCCGTTTGAAGTATCCGTTTGACCCTTCTTACCAAGAAGACTACGAGTGTATCCTTAAGCAGGTACAATTTAATTACACTATTTTTTAACATTAGAGTAATGTAATTATTACTTTACAAATTTGTTTATAAATTTTTAGTTTCAGGACTAATATAACATCTTTTAAATGTAAGAATCAAAATCACTGAATTTTTTCTTTACAAATTTTTTTTGCATTTTTGTTCTTTCTTGTAAAAAGATAATAGTTGAGAGAAAATTAGAAGATACCTAAATTGATTTTCCTGGAACAGTCACTGTGACGATAGTGTTCGACAAGCTCCACCACCTCATCTTCACTAAGCAATGCTCCGAGGACCTGCTCTCGCTCCTCCTCGATTCTCTTCCAGTTCACATTTGAACTTTGGCGCCAAGAATTTGAATTTTGAATTCAAATTCTTTGGGCTACCATGTGCTGAACGTGAATCATGGCTAATTATACTTCATTTAGAGTGAATTTAAGATGCATTTGAGTGGTTCGTCGTGAACCGGGGGGAAACATCGATCCATCTCCAGTTGAACCAGCCCGGCCCAAACGGGGAGAATTTGGGCGAGTCGCAGAAGATGATGGGCCCAACGTGTTGAGTTAGTATGTTAATTCAGATGTTTGTTAAAAAAGGAAAATCAACCTATATAAAGGCATGAACACTTTTGCACGTATATGAAAAAATACATACAATTTCTCTCTTATCCTTTTCTTTATTTTTAATCATTTTCTACAGCGTTTGCATCCCTAACAAATTGGTATCAAGAGGTTGAAGATCTTAGGGCAAAGATTCAAAAGCATTTCTTCAGGAGAGTATAGTTTGAGTTTCATAGCGATCAACATGATAGGTCTCAATGGTCACATTCTTGGAAATTTGCCAGTTCTTAATGGAAAGAATTGGGACAAATGGAGTGTTTAGATGAATGCGTTGTTTGGTTTCCAAGACGTTCTTGATATTGTCAAGAATGGTTATGCGCCACTTGTTGAACCTGCAACTGAAGTTCAGAGACAGGCTTTCAAGGAGAATCGAAAGAAAGATTGTAAGGCTTTATTCTTTCTCCATCAATGTGTTGATGGTTCTCACTTTGAGAAGATTGCTTTCGCTGAAACCTCAAAAGCTGCGTGGGATGCCTTGGCTAAAGCTTGTTCCGGTGATGACAAGTTAAAGAGAGTGAAGTTGTAGATATTTACACGAAAATTTGAGTTGTTCCAAATGGAAAATAATGAGAAGATCGCGGATTACTTTTCAAGAATGCAAGTTCTTGTGAATCAAATGAAAACGTGTGGTGCTACTGTTTCAAATCAGTTAATGGTGGAGAAAGTGATGCGGACTTTGAGTGCAAAGTTTGATTACATAGTTGTAACTATTAAAGAATCCAAAGATCTCTTAATAATGAAGGTGGAGGAGTTGCAAGGAACTCTTGAGGCACATGAACAACGTTTGGTTGAAAGAGACCAACAACGAGAGTCTGACCATGCCTTGCAAACCAAGGTTGGTTTCAAGAGAGATGGTGGCAAGAAACGGTGGAAGGGCAAAGAGAAAGTGCAATATAATAAGGGTGGTGGTAGAGGAAATACCTCTAATAATGGTCATTCTGATGGTGATGAAGCTAAAACTTTAGAGAAGGATGGTGGAAAGAAAATATGGAAGGGAAAAGGGAAGAAAAATTTTGATAAGTCCAAAATTGAGTGTTATAATTGTGGTACATGTGAGCACTTTGCTGATGAGTGTAGGTCAGGCAAAGGCAAGAAGGGAAATGATGAGGCATATGTAGCAGAATACGAAGAAAGCTCAGAGTCTAAGAATGTTATGCTTATGGCTACTACATGATCAGAATCTGAGGATGACTCTTGGTACATTGACACAGGGTGTTCCAATCATATGACTGGACATGAGGAATGGCTCATTGATCTTGATTCAAGCATCAGGAGTAAGGTTAGATTTGCTAATTATAGTTTTGTCATAGTTGAAGGACTTGGAAAAGTGTTGATCCAAGGGAAGAGAGGTAACATTATAGTAATTCATGATGTCTTGTACATTCCCTCTATTAAGAATAATCTGTTAAGTGTTGGACAATTAATTGAAAAAGGGTTTTCATCCAAAGTTAATGATGCTAGATTGAATTTGTATGATCAATAACATAGACTTGTCTTGAAGGCTCCACTTTCTAAGAATAGGACTTTCAAGACAAGCCTATCAACTGCCTCTAATTGTCTTGTAGCTTCAGTGGATGATGTGAGGTGGTTGTGGCACTATAGATATGGTCATTTGAACTTTAAAAGTTTAAAGTTGCTCAGTTCAAAGAAAATGGTGGTTGGTTTGCCTAATATTTAGATACCTACAACACTGTGTGAAAAATGTGTGATAAGTAAACAACTAAGGAAGCCTTTCAAATCTACTACATTCTATAGAGCAGTTTTTCCATTGTAGGTCATCTATTCAGATATTTGTGGGCCAATTGAGGTACTTACAATAGGTGGTTGCAAGTACTTCATATCTTTTGTTGATGAGTTCACAAGGAAAATTTGGGTATTTTTCATTGAAAGGAAGAGTTTACATCTACTGAGTTTGAAGATATGAAGTACTTGCATAGTGTTTCAAAAGTGGAAGAAGCAGGTAGAGAAGGAAAGTAATAACTGTGTCAAGTTCCTAAGAACTGATGGAGGTGGAGAGTTTACATCTACCGAGTTTGAATATTTTTGCAGTGAAAATGGTATCATACATGAGGTTACACCTCCATATACTCCTCAATATAATGAGCTTTTTGAAAGGAGGAATAAGTCACTACTTAACATGGTCAGAAACATGCTAAAAGGGAAGTGAGTTCCATCAGAATTTTGGGGTGAAGCTATAGTGACTGTAGCTTATATTTTAAATAGATGTCCTACCAAGAAGCTTAGTGGCATGACACCTGAAGAGAAGTGGTCTTGGAAGAAGCCTAGTGTTGATCATTTTAGGATATTTGGTTCACTTTGTTATGTGCATGTGCCATATTAAAAGAGAAAGAAAATGGATGACAATTCTCAACCAATGCTACTGTTTGGTTATCATTCAACTGGTGGGTACAAGCTGTACAATCCTGATACTAAAAGAGTAGTTGTGAGTAGAGATGTCACTTGTATTGAGAATGAAAGCTAGAAGTGGAAAGTTGCTGAGGAAAGTGTTAGAGTTTTAGATGGTTTGCCTGTAATTGATGAACTGGAGGATGAGTTGTACAATGAACTTGAAGCTGAAGAAACAACTCATGCAATGCCTAACAGAAGGTCTCAAAGAACTAGATCTGAAAATGTCAGACTTGGTGATTATGTGAGGTTCTTTGATAATGCAGTAAATAAGGAAGGATATTTGGTTCATCTAACACTTGGTGCAGAAGCTGAGCCAATAGATTTCACTGGACCATTAAAGAGTGAAGTTTGGAGAAGAGCTATGAAAGAAGAGTTACAAGCCATAGAAAAAAAATCAGACTTGGGAATTGGTGGATTTGCCTCCAAAGAAGCAACCTATTGGAGTCAAATATGGGTGTTCAAAGTGAAATTGCTTCCTGATGGATCAATCTCAAGGTACAAGGCCAGGTTAGTGGAAAAAGGTTTTCTACAAGAAGTTGGTGTTGATTATCATGATGTATTTGCACCAGTAGCTAGACTAGAAACAATAAGGCTAGTAGTTTCAGCTCCTGTTTCAAGAGGATGGAGGTCCTTCCAACTAGATGTGAAATCTATTTTTCTCAATGGAGCTTTGGAAGAAGAGGTATATATAGAACAAACACATGGTTTTACTCTATCCTATTTTCTAGGCATGGAGTTTATGCATTGTCATAGTGGTATCTTTCTTCATCAAGGAAGGTACATCACAAAAGTGTTGAAGAGGTTTGGAATGGTTGATTGTAATGATGCAATCACACCAGCTAAAGTGAATTTGAAAGTAGTGAAAGATGAAAACTCTAAGTGGATTGATAGTACGCTTTACAAACAAATTATAGGCTCTCTGAGGTTTGTTTGCAATAGCAGACCAGACATTTGCTTTGCTGTTAGAATTGCTAGCAAATTCATGGTTGATCTGAGGGTGACTCATATGGCTTTGGTCAAGAGAATTTTGAGATACTTGAAGGGAACTATAGATTATGGAATTTTGTTTCCTAAAGAATGCAAAGATAAGTTGGTTGGTTTCTATGCTAGTGATTGGTGTGGAGACAAGAAAGATAGAAAGAGTACCACTAGTTACTTTTTTATGTTTCAAGGTGCACCAATCTCTTGGTGTTCTAAGAAACAACCAATAGTGGCTCTATCTAGCTGTAAAGTAGAATATGTAGCAGCTGTTTAATGTGCTTGTTAAGGAATTTGGCTGAAATCATTGATAGTAGAACTGAGTTTGGGTGATGAAGAGAAGGTACAATTGTTTATTGATAATCAATCAGCAATTGAGCTAGCTAAGAATCCAATAGCGCATGGGATATCTAAGCATATTGAGGCCAGGTTTCATTATCTCATAGATCAAGTTTACAGAAGGAAGATTGAGTTGGTTCATTGTAGAAGTGAAGTGCAACCAACTAATGCTCTTACCAAGTCTATGAAGATTGGAATATTTTTAGAGCTTAGGAAAATGCTTGGAGTTATTTCGATGTTGGATCTGAATTAAAGGGGGGTGTTGAGTTAGTATGTAGTTAATTCAGATGTTTGTTAAGAAAAGGAAAATCAACCTATATAAAGGCATGAACACTTTTGCACATATATGAAAAAATACATACAATTTCTCTATTATCCTTCTCTTTGTTTTTAATCATTTTTTGCAACCTTTGCATCCCTAACACAACGAAAGGGCCGATCTCCAAATAAGAGTACCTGAAGTTGAATGGAAGCTCCAATTTAAGAGGAACTTTCGGAGCTTTGTTTTTATTGTTTTCAAAAATTTTCTTCTTTGCTTTCTGCGATTTCAGAGAAGGGGAAAATGTTGGGTCGTAGTGGTCAAGGGAGCTCCTTGTGGCTATTTCCTCAAGTGTGACATGTTGGGCGTGATAATTCTTCACCTACACGAAGACATTGGAATGGAGTTAAACAAATCCTTTGTTATCTTAGAGGCGCAATAGATATGGGGTTATAATGTTTGAATGTTTCTAAGCTAGAACTAAATGGTAGATCATAATGGTAGATCATAAATCAGATATTTGCTTACAAGTGGTGATATAGCATTTTCATGGTGATAAAACAAACCATAGCCATTTTGTTTAATCATGCAAAAATTTTAGCATTACATGAGATAAGTCATAAATGTGTTTGGCTAAGAAATGTGATTCAACATGTACGAAAAATTTGTGGTTTATCTTCCAAAAAAATGACATCCACAATTATATGTTAAGATAATGCTACATGTATTACATAATTGAAAGATGGATACATAAAGATAAATACAAAAAGAACATATTCTACCAAAATTCTTTTTTACTCTTGATCTTTAAAAGAATGGTGATATAAATATTTAAAAAGTTTGCTTGCGTGGCAACTTAGCTGATCTTTTTACAAAGTCATTACTAAGTTTTTGAGCAGTTGATACATAAGATCGGACTCTGTTGTCTTAAAGATGATTGTATACATGAGGGGAAAAATAAATATTAAAGAATGATGTACTCATTTTCCTTCATTAGGTTTTTATCTCATAAGATTTTTCCTAGTAAGGTTTTAGTAAAGCATATTCTAAAATAATGAACATCCAAAGGGGAGTGTTACGAATAATAATTTGTGGCTTAATTTGTAACGATCCGTCATGATCCCTACACTAAACGACACAATTATTTAAGATCATGTACTTACAAATACTAGAGTATGTACTATATCACATACATATAAGGATGAAATGACTACTCTAATATATGCAATATACATATAATAATCTTGTAAATATAAATACAACTAAGTTGTCAGTCAAGAACTATTACTATCCACACAAATCTACCATCAACAAATAGTCATCAAAACCATCCAGCTCTAATTCCATTGTATGGCCTCCACTACAACACTTGAGTCCTATCCATGCCTTGTTCTCATACCACACACACGCGCGCACACACACACACACACATATACAACATAGGAGCATCATATTAACATCTCATCTTTGACAACACAGCAATGAAGTATCATAGTATACATCAAATATCAACATAATCCAACTCTGATTCAACACAGCAACACATTTCATCATAGTTCAACATAACATATGAATAACACAATCAACACAAATAAGACTTCAAAATTTAACATTAAGGTTCAAATTTAGTATAAAAACATCATTTTTTTTGTTCCTATTCAACTTTCAGGCTCAGAAAAGTTGCATAAGTAAATGTACAAAAGCATTTTCACTTAGGAATCAATCCAATTGCATTCTTCAATCTCAAAGATGCTAATATTTAGATAAACCATAGAAAACCAAAGAAAAAAGTTGTAAAAGCGAGAGGAATTTGAATTTGTAAAGATGAAAAAGGCACCTAAGCAACGAGAAGAGAGGTGGTGGTTTTGTCGAAGCCACCTTTGCCGAGAAAAGTGAGCAACTTGGTTAATGAGGAAGCGACAACGCCCTCAGAAGAAGCTGCCATGACCAGACGCAATTGCGGAGAACGATAAACGAGGGTTCCAATGTGAAGCGAGAATGAGAAAAATAAAGTCGTGCAACTTTTCTTTCTCAATGTTTATATAGCAGAGGAGGGGTTAACTACAGAGTTAGACATGTATTCTTGACACACCAAGTTTTGCAAGATCTCGACGGATAGATGGATAGATACAAATATATTGTTACATTTGTTGTAAAGAATTCTTTTATCAATTTTATTTTTAAATTTT